TTTCACACATGCGGCGTCTGCAGGCGTGGAAGGGAGAAGGCCGGATACGATGCGTACGTAGGTGTATTGTATACCGGAGCGAGAATGTGGTTAAGCTTCTCGGTGGCTAAGCAGGTTATTTCGAGGCCGTAGAAAAGTCGACTGTCGATAACAGCCCGAGCGACACGGGCGGGAGATTGTCCTGACTATGTTGATGCGGCTACGAAAGTTTTCTTTCACCATCCTGAAGTGCTGGCTGAAGCTTAGGGTGCGATCCAGTACTACTCCCAGAACATGCATTGTTTTCTTGAGCGGAATCGGATGATCTTGGATGTAGATCGGTGGTCCTCGAATCAGATGGACCTAGTTACAAATATAGCACCGTACACTCTTCGGCGCGGAGAGCTGGGAGCCAACCGAAAGCGCCCACCTGCTGACAGCGGAGACTGCTGCTCAGTATGCAAAACAGTCAGATTCAATGAGTCATTTTCATACGAATATGAACTACCATCTGCCTCATCATTCACTGCCTCGTGAGAGTCTGAATGATTGAGAGTTAAACGAGTCACTGACAGCCGAGCACTTAGTTAGTAGCTCAGTCAACACGTTTATTCTGCCGTGATGGTACCCAATATTTGTTTTGAATGACTAAGCGTACATTTTCTATGGAAAAATTACTTAATTACATACTGTGTGAGTGAAGGCAAGCGGTGTGAGTCGCCTGCTCGTGAGTGACTGAATGTTTTTGTTGGCTCTTTCATTGCCTCGTCCTTTACTGTTTGGTTCGAACCGTCTGCACAGAGCAATGGATTGAATAGTGCAGTGCTGTCACACTCATAGCGAATTTGTTTATTATCCAGGTCCAACCTGGATTGAGTATCAAGTTAGGGTCTGCTTGTTTTCTAGCAAACGTCAGTTTGATCGTTTGTTTTTATAACCAGGCACGGGTCGACTTTCGCACTGACAAAAAGTTCGGGTTTGCACTGGGTTGGAACTGGTTCCAACCTGGGAATAAACAAATTCGCTATCAGTCTAAGCAGTCAATAATTTTACGCTTTGCTGCTGCTTGAGCTATGTTCCTGGTTCGCTTAGTCGTTCGTCCCGTTATGACGATGAGTATGTCGTCGCGTAGTCGGCATAAACGATTACGTGTACGTTCTTGGGCAGTTGGCTGAATACCCCGTTCATATTGCCACCAGGAATAGCGTTACCGCTATGACGGATCCCTGGGGCACTCCAGTTTCCTCGGGGAACGGATCCGAGCGAGTGTTCCCGACAGTCACCTGGAAAGCCATGTACTCGTAATAGAGACTAATGAATCCTGTTGGATTTCTGTCGAGCAGCTTCTCAAAGTTTTCTATTACCAATGGGTTCATTACTTCACAACCAGTCCAGTGGCAGGCGCGTAGGCAACATGTTATACTGTGACAGCGGGCTCAGCACAGCAAAATAAATTATTTGAGCCCGGGACATGCTGCATACTGTCAAACGCAGCTGTTGGTATAGGCCTTGTCACTGGCCTGTTCACAACAGATAAGAAACCGGAAGCACAGTTCCGCGAAAAGATCTGTCAGTGGGAGAACACCCGCGAGTACTTCGAGGCTCATCGTATGCGTCGAGTGCATACAGAGTGTTGTTTTGATGAATGAAGTGTTGATTAATTCAAGTTTGTTACTCAGTGAGTTTTCTATAGATTTCGACACTTTCTTGTATCAAAAAATGTTTTTGGAAGTTTTTGACGGATATTTTTATTACACTTCAGTCGAAAGAGTTAGCATTGTGATAAAATCGAGAGCAAAATTAAGTTAAGTTTTGCATTTCTCTCATTCTTGATAGTGTTCTTGGTTTGCGTGGGCGTACTTCGGTTCGTGCGAAAATGGTCATACAATTTTTGTTTACATAAGATGATAGGCTCTTCAAATGTTACATGAGGTAATGATTAATGTAGCAATTTAGAATATATCCCTCGAATTCAAATTGTAACGAAAAAAGTTTTACACTGGTAAAAATTGAGGCACGGTGACGCCTCTGTATTATGTTGAAGTTCTAAGCGAAACGACTTTTTTAGACAAGCAGTTCTTATTTTTAGATTGTACAAATTCTCTGTTGTCGTTGTCGTAGGCGCCGTCGTAGTCTTAGGCAGTACCGTTGGTATATTCAAAATTAAACATCAACCGCTGAAAATATGAATTATCGCGTATTTCTGTTGTTCATTGCATTCCAAGTGAAATTCGAGAACGTAATTTCATTTGTATAGCTTGTTCAACCAGGTCTTGAACAACCGTCACGTCGGTCATAGCTTGTTATGATTGTCTGAACCATGCGTAAAGAGAAAATCGAAACATTGAACGTCGCGTGAAAGTGGATCTTAATGAAGGCCTAAGTACTCTTTCGTAGCTTTTAGTTTTAGGATTTCAAAGATCGTCGGTTGCAGTGGCTTGCTTACTGAGGAGAAAGACGCGATCCCAGATCCTTTCATATCAAAAATATTAAAATATCGCTTATTTATCGTGTATTTTGTAAAACTTTTCGTTGTCGTCGGTGCCGGGTTTGAATAGTTATTAAAACTTGAGTAACGCTATAATGTGATATGAGAAGCTCGGTGGCCTTAGAGCAACCGTTTTTGCTTACTAAGCAGAACATCATGAGTCTAGTCTCAGGCCCATCCACATTCAAGATTCGTCAATGATTAAAAAGGAGCTCGTCTGCCTAGTGGCAGACGTTTTTGCTTACTGAGCAGAGGACCATGGGTTCAATCCCAAGCTCCTTCGTGTTATACGATCGTTAGGACATCAATTTAGCTTATCGTTTACCAAAACGAACCCTGCTGCTAACCCAACCCTCATACCCAACATCCCTGTGATTCCTCGTGGAAGTGCAGAGGACTCCTCGGTTTCCATCAAAGCGAGTGTCACGTCAACACATTCCTACCCATTCCTTTCTTGACCTGCGTTCAGGCGCGGCTGGCGCTGGTATTGCCTAATTCGAGATCACCAGTTTTTACACATTGAGGATGATTGCTAGTCCCAAGCATCGTCTATTGGTTCTCTGCGTAATTACAGCTGGTCTGGCAATAACAGAGTAGCAACCGTGGGCTGTCAATCAAGCTCATGCTCATGCTCATCGTATGCGTCGAGTGCATACAGCTACGCGCGATTAGGAGACAACGGTATTGAACCCGATGTAGCTTCAGGGTGTGTATTTTTGCCGCGGATTTAAAGCAGAAGCTACCGTACTCTAGAACCGACAAGATGGTTGTTCGGTAAAACCTGATCTTCCGGGTGTGCTCCCCACCAAGGTCGGGTCATTGTACGAAGAAAATTGATTCTTCGTTGGCATTTTTGTTTCACATAAGCAATATGTTTTCCCACATGCTTTTGGAATCGAACAAGACAACCCAAGTAACAATTGTGGTTTTATGAGGGTTCTGTAGACCATGATTTAGACTTGTAGAACGCTTTAAAACCTCGATAAAACTTGCAATGTTACTTGGGAACTAAATACTCGAAAGATATACTTTGAGTGCTTATTCAACCCTTGAGTTGAAGCTGTAACTGTGCAGGATGATGCTTCGTAGAAAAAAACAACCAACTCAGTTTTCTCCGGAGAGAATTCGATACCTAGCTTCATAGCCCAAGTAGACAAATTGTCTAAGGTATCTTGTAATGGTCCTTGCAGGTCCGGTGCACTTAGCCCGGTGACGTAAATAACGCCGTCATCTGCAAGCTGCCTTAGCGAGCAATTTTCATCATCTTTTACATAAAGAAGGGGACTTAAACATGAGCCCTGGGGGAGACCCATGCAACTAATTCGTGAAGTTGTCGAGTTTCCATGAGAAAAGCTCATATATTTCTCAGACAACAAGTTGCTCAAATAGTTGTTCATAATTGGTGAAAGCCCACTATCGTGGAGTTTATCCGAAAGGACATCGATATAAACAGAATCAAAAGCCCCCTTAATGTCCAAGAAAACTGAACCCATTTGCTGTTTTTGCGCATAGGCCAGTTGAATTTCAGTTGAAAGCAACGCAAGATAGTCGCTCGTTCCTTTGCCTCTCCGAAATCTAAATTGCGTTTGTGAAAGTAAACCATTCGACTCGACCCATTTGTCTAGACGAAAAAGGATCATTTCTCCAACAATTTCCGTATACAGGACAGCATCGCGATGGGACGGTACGAGTTATAATCCGACGCGGGTTTACCGGTTTTTTCGAATGGCGATATCTCTTACTTGCCTCCAGCCATCCGGAACAATGTCGTGCTCCAGAAATTGGTTGAATAAGTTCAACAAGCATCTCTTCGCGACGTCTGGGAGATTTTTAAGCAAGTTGAACTAGATTCTACCCATTCCTGGAACTGATTTGTTATATGAGAGGAGAACAAGTGAGAATTCCACCATCAAAAACGGGGAATCTATTTTGTTACTACTCAACGGATGATCACGAACGTTGGTTTGAACCGACACCGAATCCAGACAAACTTTCCGCTTGAAGCTGAATATCCAACTTCTTGTCTTCGTTAACCGGTGATGATGCAATTCGCATTCTCCTGCCGACATTCCAGAGTGTTCTCATGGAAGTCTCTCGCGACAAACCATCGACGAACCGACGCCAGTAACCGCGTTTTTGGCTTTAATCAAGCCCTTAAAGGTTTCCTCGAGGTCGGTGTACCGCTCGAAATCCCCAACCTTACCGTGTTTGCGGAAGCGTTTAAACGCGGCGGACTTCTCGCTGTTCGCGTCGGTGCAATGCTTATCCCACCACGGAGTGGGAGGTCTCTTGCGAACGCAAACACCCGGAACACGTTTCGTCTGTGCTCGCAGCGCACAATCGATGATGAGACGTGCGAGAAAGGAGTAGGTACTCGTCCAGTGGAGGAAGTATTTCAACCGATTGTATGGCATCAATTGTATACCCTCGGCAGAAACAAGCGCACCGGAATAAAGCACCATTAAGTTTAACCGAGCTAATAACAAAGAGTGGTAAAGGATTTCGGATGTAAGACATCTGCAACGCCCCTGTATTTAGTGAATGCACATTTTGTATTTCTCAAGTAAAAAATCTTTACAAAAGAACCTACCAATAGTCAGTGTTGAGTGTATGTTGATATTTTCAATAAATTATAGCTAAGCTTAGAATATCTAATACAAAATGTTTAGACAAATAGGACATATCGTTTCCACAATGTTAGTTACTTCAGTAGTTTTAGAGCGTCGTAAATAGTGCCATTTTTACAGTTATTAGATTCAGATCAACTAAAGTCTAAAGATTATCAGTTTATTTGATTTTCTGTCCTCTACTACTTCTATCCCATTTCATTCACTCCTTCCAAACGATAAATGGTTTCGCATGCATAACTATCAGTAATACCATCACGTTCAAATCACATTTTGGCAGGCCTTCAGAAGGCCTCGTTTTATTCTCAATAAATGGACAAAACTCAACCATACAGGTCACAAACAAACGAACAAACAACTATCATCACCAATAAAACCAAGACTTGCTAATTAACAACAACAAAATGACACATCCGATCTTCGCGACTTGCGCTAAGGCAATAAAGTATGTGCCTGTATGTACCTCGCACAGATCGTGTATTACATTGTAGCAAAAATATGTACATAAATGAAAAGAAATGCTTACTCTCCTAAAGGCATTTGCTACTATTCTCAGTTAATGGCTTTCATGAAATATTTCTACAGTGCTTACGGGGAAAATTCTGTAAAAACGCTCTCCTCTGAATCCTACGAATTTCATCAAATTATGTGGGAGTGTATCAAAAGACAACCAATGAAATTAAAAGTGCCAATGATGTGAGGAATCAAACAAAACAATTTAGATGAAGGGATCTTACCAACTACGTATACCACTTTTAGGTCCCACCGCTGGCCGCCATTGAAGGTAGATTGGGTGGAAGGTACTCGATAAAGTTGGCCGGGAACTGACCTCGCCGTCCATTCATCTCTCCGTACAGCCACTCGGACGTGATCTGCCCTAGAACGGTTACGTGCTCATTTTCCTAAAAGATAAACAAATATGGGTTAGTCAGTGTAACGCTACAGCAGTGCTACATGGAGAGCGAAAGTATTCCGCCGATCTTATACATACCACTATCGTTAAATCTTCCGGTGTCTCGGCGTTGAAGGTGTACAGCACTCGCACTTTGAGATGATTTTTAAAGCTATCGGTTCCACTATGACTAATATCACCATACTTGGTAGCAGATTGGTTGCTGCTTTTGCTGTTGCTGGTGGTGGTTGTGGGTAATCGTCCTTCCTGCAGGGATACCTTCACCTCAATGTAGTTGGCTGGGAACATGCCCTCGCAGCCGCGCCGGTCCCGGCCCAGAAGCCACTCTTCGTTCAGTCGCTTTAGCAAGTAGATTTTTTCATTGATCTGAGAAAGAAGTGAGGAAATTTAGGTTTACATTAGTCAGACTGGCTATGCTCAGGTCAGATTAAGAAACTATAAGGGACAGCCCTATGGGGTTGTATGGTCTTATATAATAAATGTTATTTGTTAACTGCAGCAGGAACTTGTGTTTTGTGTAGGAATAGGGATTTGAGCGGGGATCTCTCTGTTTATAGGTACTCTTTAGTATGACTATGATTGCCCTGAAAAGAACCTTTTGATATGATTCTAGTTGGGACATGTTCAGAAATTTAACTCTTTTGGAAAATCTTGGTGGCCCAAAAAAGGGTCGATGGTAGTACAGGCTTAAAGCTTTTGGAAGATGATCAGCAAATCGGACCGGAAAATCCCATATTCTTTGCAAGAGTCTTGGCCCGTCTGCTGCTGGACAGGGGTTGAACTGGTGTCTGTGACAGGTTCGAAGGCCGCAGAATATCAGTCCCCACCCAGCTAAAGCTCCTCCCCTTTTAAGTTTTTCTCATTAAACTCCTTCTCTCAACAAGTTGGTAGATCTTAGGCTTTAGCAGAAAGACGCTTAACACTTTTTTCGGCGAATTTATGATTCTTTTTCGCTTCATGGTTCTTCTCTACTGCAATAAATCAAATGAGTAGAAATAAGAAGGGATGTCGGTTACGCGCTCGAATAATTGAAAATTCGATAAATATTTAATCGAATAGCTGGAAAAATCTTTACGATTAATCTCTAATAGAATACTTGGACATCCCTAGAAAATAATGTTATTTCATGTTTTTGGTGGTCTTTCGAAAATGTTGAACAGCAGAATTGCAACCACCAAGTGTAACCCAAGAACCAAAAGCAGTGCGATGCTAATTCTAGATAGAGCTGGAATTAGGGCCTAACAGCTTTTGTAAACAATGGCTTCTATCGATGATTTCTAGAAATTCAAGGCTCGCCCACGCAAACCAACATTCTCATCGGGTAGGGAAAGACTTCCCCAATCCGATGGTTATATTCGTCTGCGTGGGCGTGCCTTGAGTTCCTAGAAATCATCGATAGAAGTCATTGTTTACAAAACTTGTTTCGCCCTAATTCCAGCTCTATCTAGAATTTTCATTGCTATGAAGACGACTGAATTAGGAGGCTTAGAAGCAGAAGGGTGAAAGTCAATTCTCTTCATCGATTTCCTCTTTTGATGACCATGGCTTCACTAACCTATTTCGCACTATTTCTGCTATGCTCTTCTATCATCCAGAACAACAAACGCATCAATGAATGTGTTTGCCGTCGAGTTATTAACGAAACAGAAAGTCGATGAAAATCACTTGCACCCCTGCTTCCAAGGTTGGTTACAAGATTACAACTCTGGAGAGCATTTTGTGGGGCTGTTGGGGGCGAGGGGGGCGACACATCTAAATCACAATTCTAGATGCTCAACAAATCTCACACTAGCGAATCAATCTTCGAAAAATCTTCAATTATTTCTCGCATCTACTTTGCATCGCACATCATCTTTTTCCAGGAAATCTTAAGAATCGTCATCAATCTTCTTGCTATCTACTTAGGCTGTGAACCATTTGCTGAGTTAAATTTAACTCGTGGTTAAAAGTGACATTTCGAAAGTTATTTTCTATGTTCGAAAATCCCCGTGCTGTCGATCGACCGGTTTTCGAGCTACGGTCGTCAAAATTTAACTTCTTGTCTGTCAGAAATAACCACGCTCGGATAGCAGGGTTAATCGATAACTTTCCATCTGTCAAATTTTAACCAAAAGTTAAAATAATCCACCAAATGGTTCAGAGCCTTAGTGTGCGTGCAGCTAACCACAGCAAAACACAATTTTTCCTGCATCGTAGATAGAGTCGCCCCCCTCGGTTGGGGGCGTGTGGTTTAGAATATGTCGATGAGTGTGCAAAATGGTTCGCAATTACATCCCCCTTTTCGCACACGCCCGAAGATCGAAGGCGAATGCCACTTCGACTTGTTTCGTCTAATAACGATGACAGTGCTGGGGAAGCAGCAAGGCTACATCAACATGTTTTGTCTAGAAACGATTCTCTGATGACTGTGTTGGGGAAGCAGCATATGCATGTATGTAATTGGTGGATTTGTTGGTTATTTCGACGCGTTTGGACAATGATCGACACTTACCACCTTTTCAATAGTTTCTTGTTAAAATCACCAGTCGAAAGCGTTGCTATCGATGTGTAGAAATATTTATGATCGATTGGTGATAAAATTATTGAAATTGATCCAGGGGCAGCTGGGTTATTAACGTTCAAAATCTTTCATAATTTCGTAACATAGTCCTACGTCAAAAACGAAAATTGAACGGTGTAGTGATCAACTTCACCCCATTTTACAGTACCGTACACGTTATTCGCTGCTTCCAGAGGCTAAGCCTTTGAGCTAAAAACCTCTTTAACCTTCCTAGTGCATTGCGGTCAGTTTTAGCCAGAAAACACTGTGTACATTTTTCCTAATGCATTAGGAATGTCAATAAAGTAACAAACAAAAATCGGACCGGAAAAAAAACCCGAACAAAACCCAGAGTATGGTGTGCTACACGTGTAGGCTGAGAAGCTATGAGTAAACAAATTTTTCTCCCGCATTCGCCGAGACAAAATGGACCATAGCCCAGAAAATTCACCTCTAGCTTTAGTTTTCTTTTTTTCTAGAACACCACCACCTGGACCTTGAAAAACCAAAACAAAGATCTGGCAATGAGCCAAGACCGACCGGCAACAACGAAAACCATTGCACGTAGTACACAAACGAAAAGATCACCGACCAAGCAAACATCGCGAAAATTCTCACACCCCCACGAATGTGCAAACCAAAAAGAACCCATTTTTTTTTCAAATGATTGTGCGTCGGGAAATTGTTTTGCTTCGCGGAAGCACCGCCGCGCGAACCGTTATTTATCCGATTCAAACATCTCTTTTCAGCACATTTCAAAGGTCATGCTCGGCCGGGCGAAGCAACAACTGACCGGCGGCGTGCTCGTCGTAAATAAGTCTATAAATCTACAGTCGCCTTGTACCTTGTTTCATTGTAGTTGTGTCAAGCAAAATGAGATCACTCACCCTAAAACTGAGATCCTCATCGGTTTCTCCCCTGAAATCGTACATAGCGATTCCGTATGGTTCGGTCGTTTCAAGGTCCTCAGATTCATCCGCCACGCAGGGCGGTGGCGGTGGTGGCGGAATGTTTGGCATCGGTGGCGACGGCAGGGAATCGAGCGATTCCTCTCCATCGTCGAAGCCGTCCACCATTGGCGGCAACCGTGCAGCAACAGGAACTATCGTCGTAGGCAATGGGGCTGGAGATTTCATTGTCGCCCAGAGTCCCGGCATCGCCGATTTCGGCTTGAGATTGTGCACGGGGGTGGACTTTTGACTATTGCTACCATTGCAACCACCGGGTTTGATGATGGTTGGCTTCGCGACGGTTTGTACTTTAGGGGCAACGGATTTTCCATTGCAGAGGGGATCGACGAATTCTGAAGCGTACAGTTTGCTGTTCACCGCGGGGGCTCGTATCGTGGCGGAGCTCAGCGGTGCGTAGATGTTGCTTGTGGAGGTGCTCGTTGTCGATTTCGCTCCTGGTGGAGGCATTCCGAAAGTGTCGGAAAGATCCCAGAGGTCTTTCAGGGTCGACGAGGATGGCGTGGCTGCCGTCGACGATGCCGGCGTGGTGGCCTTTGAACGTTGGTGTTCGTGCTGACTGACAAAGTCATCCTCGAAACCGCTCTCCGCCTGGGACATGTTTCCATTGTTCGGGGAAGAATAATTCGAATCGGAACTAAAACTATCCACACTGATGCAATCGCTGCAGGATTTTTGTGTGAACGTTGGCGAACTCGGTGGCGAATCGAAGCTTATTAGAAATTCTGCCCCATTTCCATGGGATTGAGCATTGCTGTTCGGAGTGGACCCGATGGAGCTGTAGTGTCCGGTAGTGTGTTGGTGCAGGGGCGGAGGTTGTTTCGGAGGTGGCGGCAACTTCATAGGAACTTGTCCTTTCTGTGCGACCCCTTTCGATGCGTGGTTCCTCTTCTGACCGAACAGATTCGATAGGATGTTGATGGACTGTGGCTGGCCGGGTTTCTTCAGTGCCGGGACGACTTTCGGTGGGGGAGGCCTTGGTGGAGGCGCTTTCTTAGGCTTCATGTTGAGCTGATTTCCAGTCAGTGGCGGGGCAGGTCTACTGCCGACCGCACCAATACTGGTTGGTGGTGCACTGAATGGCGTATCATCCCAGTTGGTGGCCGGGCTGTAGCGTGTGGTTTTGTTCGAGGCTGCCTGTGGTGGCGGTGGGGCTGGCCTTGACGGGATCGTCATATTTCTAAAATAAAGAAACAAAAAAGGAACTTCATTAGGTTCACTTCAATCGATCGACATTCGCATGGTTCATTGAATCAAGGCAAGTTCAAGGAATAATTTAATTAAAATCGACACTGACGACAGCGGCTGCTGGCAAGAGAGATCGCGACAAACAATGGGAGCCGCAGGGGAAGAGAAAACCGTTGCTACACAAACACACACTAAATACTGCGAGGCTGAGTCATTGCCGTGGCCGTTGCCATCGCCCGTGCTTACTGGCTGGCTGGTGTCTTAATTTTTTACGCACTCGCAGACAGCGCTGTTGCAGTGTGTTTGTCGTAGGTTTGAATTTTGATGATGACGGTTCGTCACGGTAGCCCCATATTGCCAGGTATCGTATAGTGCACATTCGGCAGTCTACCTCTTGGTATATCATTGGGCGAAAATAGAAAAGCAAAACAAGAAAATCGAGAGCTCGTTGTTGTTTTTTTATTTCGCACAAAAGAGTTTATGTGGGCCGTCCGTCCATTCGTCAGTCGTTTCGCATTACTGCTATTGTAGAACCGACACTACCAGCTTTACATAATTTGTGATTTCGAAAAATACAACTTGTTTTCATAATAACGAGCAAGTGCTTTGTTCAATTAATTGTGCACATTAAAGAGGTGTTTATAGGTTTCCGATGGTAAATGTCTCAACTGTAGTAGCAGAGTCATGCAGCCCAAAAAAAGTGTAGTGGAAGGAAACAAAAATGCTACAGTTTTCGGTAGTTTGATGAGCTGGCTTTCCATCCTACTGGTGGATGTAAAATTTACTGATCCTATGATCCTGGTCAATCCAATAGTATCAATATAGGGTTTAGATCTAATGTTGGGCTTACTATGCACAACCCACACTTTACCGAGCATTGGCTAATCTTTCAGAAAAAGAGTTCTCGCATGTTGTTCAATTGGTAACGTTTTGCTTTTGGTTATACGACAAAATTAAAAAAAAAGCGCTACTAGCAAATCCCCTTTTCTACGTTTATCCGTAGTACGAAGAAAATCCAATGGCGTTTCAATGCGTTAGGACGGAGTTGAAACTCATAGAACGAATTTAGAATCAAGAAGCAGTATTAGATTTTAAACAATATCTCAACAATTTGTGACTCTTTATCAAATCCAACGGTACGTATGGAAAGGTGAATAAATGTTGAAGTCATCTTTGACAGAAATATTCCATTTTTTTGTTTAAACTCGTTCAGAAAAGAGAGGTAAAGCGACGGAAATTAGATCAAACCCCCTATACTGGAAAATACAGGGGATTGGGAGGGACCACCAGGGCAACCAATTGAAGCGATTTGGATGGGGAGAGTTAAATTGTCAAGTTCGTGTTGTTAACACCTCGTGCAAAAAGGGCGGGCTCTTCTCCACACTCATTGGGGTATCCTGTAGGACGGCTCGTTTTTTGATCAATTGTATGATCATGTGGTTGGAAGGAGATTCTCTATCATTTCTCCACGGGTATAGGTGAATTTACCTATCGATCCACCAAAACCGTTTTTGGCCCTTCATACAGTGACATGTTGAGAACAGTTAGAGATTTTTAAGCTCGATGCCCCGTAACGTGGGTAGATCACCTTTTCGTGGTACGTTACGGGATATAAGATCTACCACCGATTCCTAGTCCCGACTACTTCAAACTAGGGGAACAGGATTTTTCAGTAATCAAAGGAACACATCTTAGTCCTTGTTACTTTTTATGCCTTGTTGATAGTGATAAGTCCTCGGGCTGCCTTGACCGAGGATGATCTTGACACAAGGAAAAAATGAGTTAGTCTTCATCTATGTGATTCCTAATCTTCTATTCGTTGTTCCTTAGTTTGAAGTGGTTAAGATTAGGGTTCTGATGCATGGTCATTATCGGTGTCATTGCTTATTTTTGTTGCTAAGAAATCCAATTTTGATTGACAAAGGAGCGCACCTTTGGAGGGTGTTCCAACACTCCGAAGGGTATAAATAGCGTGACCTTTCAATAAGAATCGATTCCTTGCCATGAAGACAAGAATGACAACTGTATCAAAACCGAATACTTCATCATTTCTCAATAGTGATGGAGTAATACGACATGCACTAAACTAAGGAAACAGGATATACTACAATAGATCAAATTACTGGTCGCAGTAGTGTTATGTCCCGAACAGAGGAAAAAAAAAGCTCGATCAAACAGTGGGGAGCGCCCACTTCTATCGGAATTAGTTTCCGTGCTACAATGAGTGGTAGACAATTATCAATCATCAAGCACAATCCACACTTTAAAGTGGATTTTAACACAAACTGGAATGTTTCTACTATAGATAACTTCCAAATGTAGTTACCTTGCCATACGCATCATAAAATTTGATAAAGAGCCTAAATTTTTGAGATATTGATAACTCGGCCTACGGATTCTAATTTCGCCTTAACGCATTGAAACACCATTGGATTCCCTTTGGTTTACGGATGAAGATAAAAATGGAATGAAAAAATGCATTCGATAGGAGCGCATCTGTTGTAAGAAAAAATGGGTGTTAACATTCATACTATGAGTTCTTATAGACTTTGTATGGTATCTTTTGAACTAAAGTACCGTGCCAAGCGTATGATTCCAACCACTACTCGCTAGATGCGCATCTCAATAGAATAAACCTCGTGGACAGCAACATCTGTAGGTGTGAAAACGGTTACGATGACATCGATCACGCAGTTTGGCAATGTACGGGATAATGACGCCGCCAGAGAGCGACTTTTAAATACCCTCGAGGCCCAAGGAAGACAACCCTATATCCCTATCAGAGACGTGTTGGGTACCCGCGATCTCTGCTATATGCAGTCGATTTATGTGTTTCTGCAAATGTCTAGTATAAGAATTTAATTCGTTTGTCTTGTGTATCTCTTTATTAGTTTTTGTTTGTCTTGTCCCCCGTCTCGATGAGTCTCATCGTCGCCAACTGGTCACCACACTACCGTTCATACTGGCGACATCGCTCTGATGAGACAACGAAACCCTACCCCCATGCTCCTCCCCTTTTTCAATCCATTGACAATGTACCCCTCTAACCTCGGGTAAGCCGCGAGTATTCGGCCCAACTCCTACTAGACATAGAATTAAGAGAATTGTGTTACAAACAAAGAACAATGAATTATCGGCTCCGTAAAGCTAACGCGATTGAGCCTTACAAATATACGAACTAGATAATAAAAAGCGTATGATTGACTCATTAACGCCGAAATCATCGATATATGTGATGTTTTCTACTCGATAGGCCCAAAATGACCGATTTTTGATGCTATCATCTGCTCTTGTCTTTCTGCTTCTAACACGATTTTCCGTCCCTTTCCACCATGCATACGTCAGGCGGGCCGTATTTAAATAAGGCCCGTGATGTTGCCTACTGTCAAACGTATAGGATTGATATGGGGTTGCCAGTCTCCCGAGGGGGGCGACACATCTAAATCTCAATTCTAGATGCTCAACAAATCTCACACTAGCGAATCGATCTTCGAAAAATCTTCTTTCATTTCTCGCATCTACTTGCATCGCGCATCATCTTTTTGCAGGAAATCTTCAGAATCGTCATCAATCTTCTTTCTATCTACTCAGCGTGTAAGTAGATAGAATAAGTAGGTCAACGCAGATCAAAGACGACACAAATTTATGGTTAAAATCTGGTGCAAATCTGTGCCAGTGACTCTATTCCGGATACAATTAAAGCTCTCATTAGGTCGTAAGTTTTCTTAACTTCCATGACTACATGGAACATGACTACCAATTTGCTTTCATTGTGTTCAAGATTTCTATAAATTCAAAACACGAACTGCCACAAATTGATAGACTCATTTTAACATCATTCCGGTAAGTGGTTCCTAAATCCGTTGGATGGTAATCCCCTTAGGGCCCTCCCTCAATGTTATTAATTCAAGAATGTTTTGTAACGAGGGTGTTCTTTATAATATATCGTACTTATCACTGCGACAACTTATTGATTTTTTTCGTGGAACGCTCGAAAATAATAGAGAACAATCATAAGACCCCATGTTTACCATCGGTTCCGGATGTTCCGGATAATGGATCCATATGGTCAATATTATTATCTATCATAACCATATCAAGCGACATATCAAATCACATCTACTCGACGAAATATCCCAAGCAACAATTTCGGTTTTATAAGGATTCTGTAGACCATTATTTAGACTTGTAGCATGCTTTAAAACCTCCATAAAACCTGCAATGTTACTTGGGATGGCCAATGGCACTCAAAATGACAACCATAGAGCCATATGGCTACCGGAGAACCAGTTCTGGACATTCTGGATTATGATTCCACATGGTCAAATTTATTATTTATCATAACCATATCAAGCGACATGTCCGGAGACGAACCAGCGTTCGGCTGGAAGTCCCCTTAATAAAGATAACTAACCAACTAACTATATCAAGCGACATATCAAATCACATCTACTCGGCGAAATAAATATGACACTCAAAACAACAACCATGGAACCATATGGTCACCGTAGAACCGATTCCAGATATTCCAGATCATGGTTCCACATGGTCAAATTTGATATTCCTCATAACCATATCAAGCGACATATCAAATCACATCTACTCGACGAAATATGATAAATGGCATTTAAAACGACATCCATAGAGCCATATGGCCATCGTAAAACCGGTTCCGAATGTTCCGGATTAAGGTTCCACATGGTGAAATTTGACATCTCTCATACCATATCTAGCCACATAATCAATAGCACGATAAAAGTAAACCTATTACTTGGGACAGAGATTATTATTTAACTTTCGATCCTTAGGAATGCAGTATGTACTTCTGGGATCAAAATATGTAGTTTTCAAGAGAATTTATAAGAACATTGTGTTCGATCACACCATCGGCGTCGGGCTCTGCCACATTTGAAAATTTATAGTGACAGCAACAAAGCCCCCCGATGCGATGGTAGCGATCTGTTCTGCAGTAGTATAGTTTTATCCGTCATT